AGAATCTTACCTGGACAGAATCTTACCTGGAAAGAATCTTACCTGGACAGAATCTTACCTGGACATAATCATACATGGAAAGAATCTTACCTGGACAGAATCTTACCTGGACAGAATCTTACCTGGACAGAATCTTACCTGGAAAGAATCTTACCTGGACAGAATCTTACCTGGACAGAATCTTACCTGGACAGAATCTTACCTGGACAGAATCTTACCTGGACAGAATCTTACCTGGACAGAATCTTACCTGGACAGAATCTTACCTGGAATCACCTGGACAGAATCTTACCTGGACAGAATCTTACCTGGACAGAATCTTACCTGGAAAGAATCTTACCTGGACAGAATCATACCTGGAAAGAATCATACCTGGAAAGAATCTTACCTGGACAGAATCTTACCTGGACAGAATCTTACCTGGACAGAATCTTACCTGGACAGAATCTTACCTGCACAGATAATAACTATAACGATGCCAAAAGACTACAGAAATAAATTAATAACTGGTGTTAATAACTGAACCTCTGAATAAATAACAACTTACTGATAATATGAAAACTAAACCACATAATTAATACTTTGACGACGAAAGGGTTAAACTATCGTCATTAAAGGGTTAAACTATCGTCATTAAAGGGTTAAACTATCGTCATTAAAGGGTTAAACTATCGCCATTAAAGGGTTAAACTATCGTCATTAAAGGGTTAAACACATAGGAAAGATCAAGAGGTGGGAGTACAAGAGGTGAGAGTATGAGTGGTGAGAGTACGAGGTGAGAGTACGAGTAGTGAGAGTACGAGTGGTGAGAGTACGAGTGGTGAGAGGCCGAGTAGTAAGAGTACGAGTAGTGAGAGTACGAGTAGTAGAGTACGAGTGGTCATCAGAGTAATGAGTGGTTAGAGTACTAGTGGTGAGAGCTCTGAGTGGTGAGAGTACGAATAGTGAGAGTACGAGTGTGAGAGGCCGAGTGGTTAGAGTACTAGTGGTGAGAGTAATGAGTGGTGAGAGTACGAGCAGAGTACGAGTGGTGAGAGTACGAGTGTGAGTACGAGTGGTGAGAGTAATGAGTGGTGAGAGTACGAGTAGTGAGAGTACGAGTGGTGAGAGTACGAGTAGTGAGAGTAATGAGTGGTTCATTGAGGAATAATATGCTATTAAATATAAATAATTTCAACCAAACCATAATTGTTTCTGCACTACTAATGAACATGAATCTAATTGGTCATTAAGATTCTAACACTAAATTAATCCTAACCGTTGATCAAGATTCATCCAGTATTAAACGTGTACTGATTGGGTCATTAAGATACGTAACCACCAATTAAGGATGGCGTCACATTAAGGGTAATTGTGTCAAAGCATTTCTCCTGTGACGGGACAGGGTAGGTCAGGGTGTGAGGGTGTGTGTGTGGGGTGTGGGTGTATGTGTGTGTGGGTGTGGGGTGCATGTGTGGGTGGGTGTGGGGTGTGTGTGGGTGTGGTATGTGTGTGTGGGTGTGGGTGTATGTGTGGGTGGGTGCGGGTGTGGATGTATGTGTGTGGGGTGTGGGTGTATGTGTGGGTGGGTGTGGGTGTGTGTGGTGTAGTGTATGTGTGTGTGGGTGGGTAAGTGTATGTGTGTGTGGGTGTGGTGCATGTGTGGGTGGATGTGGGTGTGTGTGTGGGTGGTGTATGTGTGTGTGGGTGTGGGTGGATGTATGTGTGTGGGGTGGGTGTATGTGTGGGTGGGTGTGGGTGTGTGTGGGTGTAGGTGTATGTGTGTGTGGGGTGGGTGGATGTATGTGTGTGTGGGTGGGTGGGTGTATGTGTGTGGTGGAAAATGGGTGTATGTGTGTGGGAGGTGGGTGTATGTGTGTGTGGGTGTGTGGAGTGTGTGTGTGGGGGGTGGGTGTGTGTGTGTGTGTGTGTGTGTGTGTGTGTGTGTGTGTGTGTGGGTGTGTGTGTGTGTATGTGGGTGTGTGTGTGTGTGGGAGGTGTGTGTGTGTGTGTGTGTGTGTGTGTGTGTGTGTGTGTGTGTGGGTGTGTGTGTGTGTATGTGGGTGTGTGTGTGTGTGGGGGCGAAAAGTTGAAGAGTTGGAGGGAAGAAGAGAAGAGACGGAAAGAGAGAGAAGGAAGAGAGAGAGAGAGAGAGAGAGAGAGAGAGAGAGAGAGAGAGAGACTCCAAGGATACATGCTTCACTCCACCACGTTCGATCAGCTACCCGTGACGTCACAATTCCTAGCGACTCTTGGGGAGTTTTGTTACAGGAGGTAAATTCTCTTAGTCCCGTGTGGTGAAGGTTAGGTTAGGTTAGGCTAGGGTTAGGTTAGGTTAGGTTAGGTTTGGTTAGGTTAGGTTTGCTAGGTTAGGTTAGGTTAGGCTAGGTTAGGTTCTATAACATTTTAGTTGAGTTGAGAAAGAGGATTAGGTTAATGTTCCTCTTGTATACATCTTTTCCCTCTCTCTCTCTCTCCTCTCAATATATTTAACCAAATTGTGTTTTTTCAATATTTCCGTGTGGCAGCAGCATAAGGAGAGAGAGAGAGAGAGAGAGAGAGACCTTCCTTCACAAAGTCCTCCTGCACCCTTGACCCCCCCAGGCCACCACTCAGCTCAAAGGTAAACACACATAACAAAATGATAGTCGACAAGCGTGTACTTTCCCCTCTCTCCCACCTCCCCACACCTCCCACCTCCCACCCCTCCCACCCCTCCCTCACTCCCACCCTCCCCACCCTCCCAACTCCTCCCACACTCCCACCTCCCACACTCCCCACCCTCCCACACTCACACTCCTGCACCCTCCCACCCCTCCCTCCTCTCTCCTCCCACCTCCCACCCCTCCCACCCTCCCACACTCCCACCTCCCCACCCTCCCACCCTACACTCACACTCCCACCCTCCCACCCTCCCTCCCACCCTCCCACCCTCCCCACACTCCCACCCCTCCCCACACTCCCACCCTCCCACACTCCCACCCCCCACCCTCCTCACTCCTTACCTCCTTCACACTCCCACCCTCCCTCACTCCCACCCTCCCCACACTCCCACCCCTCCCACACTCCCACCTCCCCACACACTCCCTCCCTCCTCCCTCCCAGCAGGTGACTTCCCCTAAGCTCACCTACGATCTCTCTCTCTCTCTCTCTCTCTCTATCATTGCCTATGAGAGACATACTCTTCTATTGCTCCTCTTATGGACAATATCTCCTGTATCTCAACTGGTCGTTCTTGCCTCTACATTTTAGAGCAGTGGTTCCTCAACCCGTTGCCCCATGCACCCCTTTCACCATATGTCAGAATGTCATTCCCCTCCTTTCCAAGATTGTCTGCCTCAAAAAGTGCATTCCAAATAATATGCATATAATACTGAAAAACCTTTTATTTTTTTCCATATTAGTACATATACATTTACAATTTTACATGGATTATTTTTATAGTGAGTTTTACAAATTAAAGCCAATTGAAAAATGTTGATGGATTTAAAACTTGAATAAAAGTAAAATAGTTTTTTATTTATAATGAATTACTTAACAGACCAAACTGAAGCATAATGCAATAAACAAAAGTTCAATAATACCAGGGATATTGTAAATTTGTAATTTATTTTATTCAGATGAAGATTACATCAATGAGAAACCTGTGATTGTTTTTTCTTCGCCAATTCTGGGATACGCGGAGGAGTGCTTGAAAGGGCACAACGAGGTCATTTCTACCTCTAATCTACTACGTTGCTTCGTTTTAATTTGCAACAGAGTTGAAAACCTGACTCACAAAGATATGTCGACACAAACGGAAGCAATGCTGATAGTTCTTTCTGCCACTTTTGGGTAGGAATGCGCATCAAGGGCCAAAATTCTGTGATTGAGCTCTCATCGAACATATCTCTTGCTCCGAATCAGTTTCCCCCCTGAAAACCTGAATTCCCCCTGAATTCCCCTGGTGGGAATTTTGGTTGAGAACCCCTGTTATAGATAAAGGAAAATTACTGCTATTTTATTATCATCATATTTCAAGTGATGTGTTAATTTGTATATATTTTATCTTCAGAATTATTTATATTATTCTTGTATATATTTTCTTCATTCTCTGTTATTATTATTTATTATCTTTATCTTCTCATAATTACTTTCATCATCACACTTTGTATCGTATTATTTCGGCCCATAATATTCAAGGTATATATTATTATTATTACATTTCACTTTTTTTGTTATTGACCCATTATTTATGTGTAACTTCCTGAACATTAGACACCCAGCTTATTTAACCTGACCACCCTAACGCTACTTGAGGGATTAGGTTAGGTTAGGTTAGGTTAGGTTAGGTTAGGTTAGGTTGGGTTGGGTTGGGTTGGGTTAGGTTAGGTTAGGTTAGGTTAGGTTAGGTTAGGTTAGGTTAGGTTAGGTTAGGTGTTTAATCATCAGGTGAAAGTAACTGAGGTGTCTAATTATCAGGTGATTATTTCTCTTGGGTATTAGGTAGAGACTCCCGCTTCTTGGCATTTAATAAGTGTTGTTTCTTACGAGGTTTCTCCGTTGGCGAGGTCAGTGTTGTGTTGTGCCTGGTAGCCTCTGAGGTAAAGCGTGTCGTTCACTCTCCTCTTGCGTTCACTTTACGCTTCGCTCACTCCTTTGTTGACGCGTGACTTGAGTGTGTTTATATTCTACGAGACTGTTGACTTTATATGGTCATTCACATCGTATTAAACAACCATACATCACGTGTGTGTGTGTGTGTGTGTGTGTGTGTGTGTGTGTGTGTGTGTATCACCTACGTCTGTGTATCTCTCCCAGCGTCATCTCTCACTGTCTCTCATTCTCTTCTCCAATCAAAACATTTATCCACAATGACGTCATAGAGCTTCGGCGCTACTGCATATAGACTAATTAGACACTTGGCAAATACTCGTAAATTAGTCGGTGGCAACTCAAGGAGGAGGTTCTTGGGGGGCGGGGCGTCACGGCGATGGAGTCCGAGACAGAACCACCGTCAGTATCATCCCAACTGTCACCGAGGTAGGATGTGTGACCGTCTCTCGAGTGTTTGTTTACATAAATCCTGAACGTGTTAGTGACGATTCCTTGGGTCAGTTTGGAGTGTGGTCGCGTGAGATACTGGTGGCTGGTGTACATAAAACATAACAGGAAGACCTATTGTTGTGTGTGTGTGTGTTGCAGTGTTAGTGTTCAAGACAGTGTTGTGGCGATAGTTAAGGCGGCTGGCTATCAGGAGCGTGTGATAACTGATAAGAGGGTGAGTATGCAAATTGGTTGACCTGCTAATTGGGCTGTTAAACTCAGATAAGCTGGCTCGTTCAGATAAAAAATAAACAGTTCCTTAGAGGCAAAAATACTTTATATTGACCATTAACGCACTGCTACTTTAATATACAGTATATTCAGTAGCACGTAACAGTAACATTATATCTCCGTATTGGAGAGGTTGACGCGTACTATGTCAACACACGGAGTACCGCAGGGTGGGGTCTCTTCACCTCACCTCAACAGAAAACGTGAGTCCCATGACAGATTTAAGGGTCCCGGTTATAATGTTGGCAATTATTGACGACTACACCGCCGCCGATTTTTCATATGTTTTACAGGCGGGTTTATTTTGAACTGTAGTAAGGCTCTGTTTATGGGTATAGTTTTGAATAAGATACACTAAATGGAGGGATATTGTAGCCACATAGTAAGTGATTATTATTATTATTATTATTATTATTATTATTTTTGTTATTACTATTATTATCATTATTATTATTATCATCATTATTATTATTATTATCAATATTATTATTATTATCATTATTATTATCAATATCATTATTATTATTATTATTATTATTATTATTATTATTATCAATATTATTATTATTATTATTATTATTATTATTATTATCATTATTATTATTATTATTATTATTATTATTATTATCATTATTATTATTATTATTATCATTATTATTATTATTATTATTATTATTATTATTATCATTATTATTATCATTATTATCATCATCATCATCATCATCATCATCATCATCATCATCATCATCATTACCTTAAACACACAGAACCTTCCTCTACCTTGGTCCCTCTCCCACCCTCCTCCACCTGTTGAACACGGCGCTGGTGTCATACAGGAGGAGGAGAGGCAACACACACTGAAAGGTTTGTATTATGATTCGTGTTTGTGATCACAAGGCTGTGTGAGTGTCAGGCGAGATACTTGATACCTGAACTACCATAGGAGAAGAGATTATCCTTATTGTCAAGGAGAGGTTAGGTTAGGTTGAGTTGGGTTAGGGTGGGTTAGGCTTTATTTGGGTTAGGTTATGGTAGGTTAGGTTAGCGTTACAGTGGTTAATCCTAGGGTGGAGGCTAATCTTCAGTGGATCTGATCATTCTGTGTTGGCCAAATTTAAGTTATCTGGAGATGTTCTGAAGGCAATAACTTCCTTATGTCTCCCTTGTATGGCAACGTGTCTACCACCACCACAGACCACTGAAGGGAAGGCTGAGTGTAAGTTACTGTGGTGATTCCTCCTAACTCTTGTTGTGGTGTAATGGTTAAAGGTACAAGAGAAGGATGTGTGTGTGTGTGTGTGTGTGTGTGTGTGTGTGTGTGTGTGTGTGTGTGGTAAATAACAGCGTCAAAGTACGGACAATCATCAACATTTATTGGACAACGCTTTGATAAATATATCTCATTATCATCAGAATTAAAGCACAAAATACATTACAATAACAAAAAAATAAATATGACGAATATCATAAAATTATATACATCACCGAAGTGACACGTGGCGGCGTCTACCTCACCTGATCCTGGCTGAGAATGTTTCGGTCTTACCACAGGAGTTGGTCCGGTGGCTGGGCTACAACAGGTATAGGACCACGACCGGGTCAACTGCTGCTGGGAACGGGACACTCGGCCAACTGGGTGTGAGGTGCGGCTCAGGGCAGTTTATCTCCCCACTTGCTTTATTGTGGCAGAGGAAGAAGCTCCAGGGTTACTGGGGATGGACGTCCCCTGGCTGACCCTGCTGACACCGTCCACACAACCAGTGGTTACATCTTGTGTGATCCCAGACAAGACGCCTCATGCTTCCTGGACTCTGGCAGTGTATCGACCTTGAGCACGACGATGTTACTAAACACCTGTTGATAAACGATCTAACTCCCATGGTTGTCGTGTACCTGGGGTCAATAGTCTTGGAGTTCGCTACTATGGATTACGGATGCAGTTTAAGGATAATTTTTCCATTCAAATATACATTGAGGCCATGGGTTCACCACGATAGTGTGGCCATGGGTTCACCACGATAGTGTGGCCATGGGTTCACCACGATAGTGTGGCCATGGGTTCACCACGATAGTGTGGCCATGGGTTCACCACGATAGTGTGGCCATGGGTTCACCACGATAGTGTAGCCATGGGTTCACCACGATAGTGTGGCCATGGCTTCACCACGATAGTGTGACCATGGGTTCACCATGATTATGTGACCATGGGTTCACCACGATAGTGTGGCCATGGGTTTACCACGATAGTGTGACCATGGGCTCACCACGATAGTGTGGCCATGGGTTCACCACGATAGTGTGACCATGGGTTCACCACGATAGTGTGGCCATGGGTTCACCACGATTGTGTGACCATGGGTTCACCCCGCTCGCTGGAAATATGTCGACGACTCCACCATTGGGATCAGCGTCAACAATTCTGCTCCCGACTATACCGCCTTTCAGGATTTATTGAACAGTCTCCAAAACTGGGCCACCAATAACCACGTCACCATCAACCATACCAAGACCATGGTTATGTACATCAACCTCTCCTCCGACATTGTCCCACCCCCTTCCATTAATTTAGGTCCCAACACACTCCAGGGTGTAGATTCCACGAAGCTCCTCGGCGTCACCATAGACAACAAACTAAATTGGAAACCACACGTCAGTGAAGTTGTCAAATCCTCCAGTTTCCGTCTCCACCTCCTCCGCCGACTCAAGTCCCTCGGAGTTCCTGCACCCGAGCTCCTCGGTGTTTACTCAACATTCATACTTCGCAAGCTCACCTATGCCTCCCCTACCTGGTCTTCCTCCCTAAATGCCACACAACGTAAACACCTAGAAAAAGTGCAAAAGAGGGCATGCAAGATTATTCTCTCCCCTTCCTACTCCACATATCAAGAAGCGCTCAACGCACTGACCCTTTCGACTCTCACTGACCATCACCACGACCTCATCTGCAAATTTGGTAAGAAGCTTCTGCACCATCCTCGACACCGGCTCCTACTACCACCTGAGATCCCTAGCCTGAGAATTGCTGTTCGACACCACAACCGCATCCAGCCCATACGTGCACGAACTGATCGCTGTAAGAACAACCCAGTCCCAACCATTGTAAAAATTATCAATAACTTGTAATAAACCAGTGTATTCACTCCCAGTAAATACTACTTCCTGCACTGTCACTATGTTGAAATGCCCTATAGTCTGAGCTTTTCCCCATCTAGATATTATATATATCTTATTTATATCACTTATGTTATTTGTATATTATTTGTAATTCGAAACCCATTTCCCAATTATGTAACTGTATATTTTCAGCCTTCTGGCTGCCAAGCTCTTTCAATAAACCGTTAGTTATTATTATTATTATTATGATAGTGTGGCCATGGGTTCAACACGAAAGTGTGGCCAGGGGCTTACCACGATAGTGTGGCCATGGGTTCACCACGATGATATGGCCATGGGTTCACCACGATGGTATGGCCATGGGTTCACCACGATGGTATGGCCATGGGTTCACCATTTTCCGCCCTCGTCATTAAGGTTTGTGGCCTCACAGTTGTCCAGCTCAAAAAGTTGTTTTCTGTCATCCAGAAATTCAACAATGGAAAGAAATCGCAATAATGCCAGCAAGCCTAAACTATTGCTATGTAACCTAACCAAACCTAGACCGCTGTAACACTATACCAACCTAGAATGAATTAATGCTACTTTCGTTAAGTTAGATTTGGTTACAATATTATACTTTTCACCTTTACACAATATATGGGTAAGGATTAACACAAAGTTTCATCTTACCTTCATATAATTCTTAGGAGTTTTATAGAAGTAAATTTTGCTCTGTTTCATTTAAACTTTAATGGCATTGTTTATTATCATATATAACAAAAGTATATCTAAAGTAGGTTAGGGTAGGTTAAGGAAAGTCAGGTTAGTGTAGGCTAAGGTAGGTTAGGGATCCATTTATCTCTCTTTCAATTTTGAAGGTAATACTAGGGACAAGATCATTAAGCTTGTCCAAAAATTTCATTGGATATTCTTGAAACAGTACAGGACTGTTTCCTAAGTCAACATATAACCGAACCCACCCGGGGTACTAATGTACTCGATTTAGTTCTGCCAAACAGAGAAAACTTCATTAGTAATGTCGAGGAAGGGAACGAACTAGCAAATAGCGATCACAAAGAAGTGAGATTCAACGTAGAATTTAATGTCAGTTTGCAAGGAAAATTCCATTAAAGTCCCAGATTTCAGAAGGGCAAACTTTGATAGTTAGAAAATGCAGCTGAGAGAAGGTGTATCACGTTTCTGGGTGAATTACATGATATAACGTGAGGTGACCTCACACAATGTACCCACAGAGGTCAACCTCACTTTACCTGGTGACCTGACAATGATAATCTTGCAACAATTTGAATGAGTTACCTAATGCACAAAGGCAGAACATAGTGTACAGAAAACTCAAATAAAATAACAATGACCCCAAATGGATAAATAATTATTTAAAGAATATTATTGGACAAAGGAAGGCTATAGGTAGGAGAATAAATCATGGTGAAGTTAAGACCGCGATAAGAAAAGCAAAGAAGAATAATGAACTGAAGGTAGCAAGGGAGACGAAGTCAAACCCCAAGGGATTCTTCCAAATAAATCAAACTAAAACACGAGACAAGATTGGACCAATAGAGTCAGATACGGGCGAGCTAACTGATAACGAAGGAGAAATCTGAACAGACACATTTCAAGTTTTCACCACCGAAAATTTAAACATGATATCTGAGGCACCGACGATAGACACAGATAGTGAAGAAAATAGATTGAGCGAGATAGTAGTGACTAGTAACGATGTTAGTAAGCAAATAGACAAGCTAAAGCCTAGTAAGTCACCAGGTCCTGATGAGATATTTACCAGTGTATTAAATGAATGTAAGGAAGAGCTTAGTATGCCCTTTGTAA